GACTGGGGTTCAAGGAGACAGAAGCAGAGATACAAAAAGCAGCTGTAAAAGGCGGCCCCGTCCAGGAAACACACAGCCAGGCAGACAAGCTACGAGCCAACTCCCATGTCAGAGGATGAAGAGAACGCATCCAGCCAGTCACAGTCAGAGAAACAGGACTGCACTGGAAAACAGGCCGATCTCCAACATCTGTAAACAATGGTGTTATTTTTATATTTGTATTTCATGATATAGTATGGCCCCAGGGATCACATCATGAAACCATCTTGCAACCCACTGGTGACTTCCCCCTTTGGGAACCCATCATACCAAAAAAAAGATCTGAAATGAGCCTCAGAGATCAGCAGAACAGCTCATCATCTGCTGGAAGCTGAAAGTAGAGCAGCTGCTCACTGAAAGATGTTGGACAGGTGGCTGAGGCATCTGATTAGACCCTCTTTATGGACTTTCTGGGTGCAACAATCTGTTAGAAGATCCTAATGAAGGTGCTGAAGGAGCAGGTTGAGAACTCGTAGAATTCCCCACGATGAGCTGGAGGGATCTGTTAACCAGTGACCGAATGACTTGGTTCATCTGAACAAAATGGATTGATGGAAAAAACATTTTTTATTAAACAACTTCTATATTCTAAATTCTTCATGAAGTTTTGGAGGGAAGCTTTGAGAGCATCAACCATTCCGGCCTCCCATTTCTCCACCTATTGCTGCTTACTGCTTGTAAGCTGGCTGAAAGAAGGCACCTTAATTTTTAAAATTTGGATAAAAAAAAGCAAAAACTGACTTTTCTCATAATGTCTGGTCACCAAAAACGCAGACATTTATGCTTGCTGAACTAAAGGAGCTCAATCTATATGGAGTGAATTTTGTTCCATTATTGTTGCAAAGAAAGAACGCATTTTGTAAACTGAAATTTGAAAAAGGGTGATTTTAGAAATTAAACCTATAAAAATGTTTGTAGTTGACTTTGTTGTCTTCTCTTATTTATTTTTTTTTTCCAAAAATAGTTTTTTAACCTCTGCCAAAGAGGTTATGTTTTTAGTCAAGTTTATGTGTGTGTGTTTTTCTGTGTACAGGATAACATGAAAAGTTATGAGCAGATTTTAATGAGTTTAATGCTAAAGTGGCACCTCAGTTCAATGAACAATCTATAAAATTTTGGTGATGATCAACATCATAACCCAGGTGCAGGATTAAAAAAAATTGATTCTTTAACATTATTTGGTGGACAATCAGTCCCCCCCCCACCCCTTAAACCAGAGAGTGGCAGCAACGACTTCTGACAGCTTCTGCATTGGACTCAAAAAAGTCCAGACGTATTATACTGAAGGCAAAAACTCAGGAAAGGTGAGCCACGCCTCGCTCAAAGTCTCCATCTGGTGATCAAATAGGAAAGCAGAGTGAATGAAGAAGGCGTGAGCAGAACAAACACCAGAGGCTGCAGACACACAAAAAAAAAAAAACTCATTTAAATTTGGTAATGATCCAGATCACGTGTTAGTTTTAAGTCCCAATATGCTGTTTGGAAGTCTGTGCTTTGACTGCTTTTCTAGTTTGTTTGTTTTTTTTAAACCAATTTTATGTTTTCAAAACCTTTTTTCCAAGTTTTTGTTTTTCCAGATTGAATTTTATCAATTTCCTTTTTTTTTTTTTTTTTTTTTATTTCGCTGATCACATTCTGTTCGCTTCCGGGGACAGGCCTTCGTCTTAAGTGAGGAGCAAAGATGCATTTCTGTCGGTCTGCTTGACCAATATTTTTACTGGTCATGTACAAGTGTTTGTATAGGGCTTGAAGTGAAGATAAATATTTTAAAAAATATATAATTTTAACAAACTAAACATGAAAAACTTATTTGAAGAAATGCAGTTTAAAAAAGACAAAATAATAATAAAAAAAAGACATCTGTGGCAGTAAAGAGAGAGCTGAGGGAAAGGCAAAGCTCTCAGTTTAGCGGGCGCCGGTCTATATTCCCATTCTCACCTATGGTCATGTAATCAGGATCATGTCCAAAACATTATATTGTATTATATGTTTTTTGGTTTTTGGATAAAAAGAAATTCGATCAAATTCTTTATTGCTGTTTGAACATTTCTTTGGCAGCCTCTTTCACTCAAGTTATAACAGCAGGAGAATCTTATTGGAGATTCCAGTGTGTATTTTTAGCCAGACAGAACAAATCGTTCTGGCTGTAATAATTGGATGGGGTAAAAAGATTGGCAGGCTCGCTTAACACCAATGAAATCATTCGATCCACAGAGGAGTTGATTTGTAGTCAGTAGCTGTGCACAGATTGCACAAGCAGTCATTGTTGCGCTGACAAAACCCTTCTGTGATTCACTCCCTGGAATAGAAATAGGACACCTTTTGCTGGGCCCCTCTGTTGGAAAACGTCTGCTTTGCACAACCAGAGCAAGAGGTAACTGGTGGGCCCAGCTGTCTGGTCTGCAGCTAAAGGGAGTCCTTCATTCTTAAAGAAGTATACAGATGGTTAGTCTGTTATCTTTACTTGGCAGGAAGAATTTAAGGAATTATTCAACCATTTTCCAAGTTGTGCAACTCACTCTCTTGCAAAAAGTCAGTGGGTGGAGATGTGGGGGTGGTTGGGCCCCCTCCTACTCCAAGCATCCCAGCCAACACTGGCCCATTTAGGAGCTGTTATACATCCTAAATAAAACACATCCTTGTCTCTAACATAAACTGGTATGTTAGCTGCTTACCCCTCATTGGGTTGTAACTGTTACAGAAATAGTTTAGCTGCTGCTATGGTTTCTACTCATTTATGGTATTTTAGGGAGAACAGTACATTTTACAAAGTACTACAATTATGCAGTATGCAGTAAGAAGTGAAAAGAAAATATGATAATAATCCTTTTTTTTTTTTTCAACCAAAAAAAATCACTGCTTTGTGTAAACATTGGTTAAGTGAAGTCATAACTAAATAACTTAGTTTATCATGAAATTAACAAAAGATTCACGTGAAACTTGGAACTTTGTTTGAGCTAAGCTAGCACTAGCTTCACTGTTTATATTGAGGAAAGGGAGGCTTGAATTTACAGTTTAAAGTTGAACGCAGACATTTGTTTTCAGCTACTGTTAAACTTTTTCCGTCTTCTATCATTGTGTTTGTAAAGTTTTTAGTTAATGTCGGAAATGCTGTTGCATATGAAATCAGATTTAGACCCTTGAAGAGAACAGCTATTAGCCTGACACTGTTTTGCTAAGGTTACTAGCAGCAACTAGGAAAATAACAGTAATGTGTCAAGAGGCTAGATTTCCTGAAAGGTAGTCAAACACTGTTAACTTTGTCCAGTTGGTTCTACCATAGATATTTTATAGGTAGACTCCTCATTGTACGCACTCTGCAGGGAGGCCATCTTGGATGAGACCACAGTTCAGACAGCTGCTGTCAGAAGGTGCCTTTGAGGTGCCTTAGATCTCATTTTAATCACATGAAAGACTAGTAAAAGCTAATATTACACTAATCTCTCACATGTCACAACCCCTGAAAAGACCAAAACTAATTTTAAAATTACCTTTCTATTAGATTACACATATTTATTTAGGGAATATACAGGCACAGGAAAACAAGAGAGCGCAGAGAAGGAGCATGTACTCATGTTTTTGATGCAATGGAGGCCTCATAGTATTGAATCTCCACACATAAAGTGAACCAGTATTATAGCATGTGGACACTTATGGCAGAATTTTGGGTTCATAACAGTACATTTTTGAAGACCCTTAACTTTCTCACTCCAATCCTTTGGGTGGCGCTAATACGCTAAGGTTATAAAATAGTTGCAGTTAGAGGACAGACTCCTGCTTAAGAGTAGAAAGAAGAATTTTTCCTCACATCAGTAACAGTTGAACTACTGGAACAATGGGCAGCAAGTCTTAATTGGGTGCGCTTCACGTTGTCACGCAATTTCCCTTATGTCTGCAAGTAAATGGGCTTTCAGACAGGAGCTGTTGCACCTAGCGATGTGCTCTTAAATCCATTATTTTCGATGGCATGTGCAATGCAAAAGCGCTGGAGAATGCTCACATACAGTAGGGCCAGATAATTCCATTTTAGTTCCAAAAGTTTCAGTGTAAACAGTGTCTCTGCTGGGGGAAACAAAAAAAAAAGTTCTATGGAAGGTTGTTGAGTCAACGCAGGATGTTAAGCGAAACTGTAATTTTTTTTTTTAAAAGCCTAATGGCCCGTTACATTGAATAATTCTCACTAGAACCCTGATGGATATCAGATCTCTACTCCAGTGGAAAGTTGTTGAGTCGTTGCAGGAAGAACGGTATCTACTGGGCGTTCTTCTTAACAGCAGGTTTATTTTTTACCAAAGATTTCAGTCATAAAACAATTTGTTCTGTCTGCAAATAGAACACAAACAAAAAGAAAAAAGCAGAAAAAAGTGGCGTTATAAAGACGGGGCATGAAAGAGCTGAATTATCTATAAAGTTTGTTGTTTTTGGATTAATAAAAGGATATATGTGGAAAACGGCTTCTGCTTACTGTTATACACGGGGGAGGATGTCTGATGCTGCGGGCCTGTTTGTCCTCCATGGTTCCTTGCTAACGTTTGTTTGCTTTTATGAGCTCTTTAGTAAAACAGACATTTTAAAAACTCAATCAGATTTAGTCTAGGAAACAAAATGGATATAAAAAGTATTTAAGCTATTCTGACTGACATAAAGGCTTTCTCCATATCCTTACCAGGCCAGTGTCTGCCAGCATGGTGAAAGGCACATTAGAAACTGGTTAGACTTCTGCTGCTGTTGTGTGTTGTAACACAGGTGCTAATTTTAGAGCCATTCCTCTGTTTCGCAGAGCTAAAATTAGACCTAGCTGCTATGAAGGGGTAGGCTAATGATGATCCCTGTTGGAAAACTCACTCCTGTCATGCTCAGAATGCAGCCTAACAATACTTTCACCTTTTCGTAGGTTTTCCCCAAGGACAGCTGGTTGGTGGCTCTCAGTGCGGGCATGATCAGCAGCGTGATGGTGGTGCTGGCTATGACGCCATTTGACGTGGTCAGCACACGGCTCTACAATCAGCCTGTTGATCATTTGGGAAAAGTAAGTAAAAACAAATGTAAGAGTTATTTATGGGTGAGGTTTTGACCTGTTTCATTTAGCCTCATTAGATGTAAAAATTCATCTTGATTTGACTGACAGGTTTTAGGTATTTACAGGAAATTAAGTAAAAAGCAAATTCAGTGAAATGCGAAATGACAAAGTGTAGAAAATGCCAATTAAGAGATGGTCAGATCAGTTTTTAATTCATTTTTATTTTAAACTAAAACGAACAAACATAATAAATAATGTTACTATCTCACTCTGTTATGCAGACATTGTCTGCACTAATGAAGATTCTCTGTATACAAAATGCTATCAGATTTGAACCTTTGAACAATATAAACTTTGATGCAGATGCAAAAAAAGGTGTTTTAGAGGTGTTTTGCATCAAATACAGAAATGTTTTGAACCAATGAAATGCAGTGATGTGTAAGCATCAACCAGAAGTGGAAGGCTCAAGCAGAACAAACATGGCTGCACCGGTGGATGTGGCTGTAGACTCCACTATTCAGTCCGATTTAGCCTAAATATGCTCTATTTCTTTTTTGAGAAACGAGCAAAAGGACGCGATTTTTGCCTTTGTGTTCATTGCAACCAGATTTGTAAAGCTTGTAAATAATTAGCTAGTTGTGAAACAAATTAGCACAGTGTGCTACATCTCAGCTGCTACTGCTGCTGTGATTGGTTAAAGCTTGACATGAGAGGTAGGTGCCTCTTGGTGATTTACCCAGTCAACTTGAAGAAGACGTTCTGTCTGCTGTGATGAGGATTCTTTTGGTATATAGAATGCTATCAGTTTTTAGATGTAGAAAAAAAAAACACCCAAAAATACAAGGCTGTCAAATGGTTCTCAAACCCCCTCAAAATAATCATATAAAAAAACTTCCCGATGTACATCACGCTCTTTAAAACTGAACTAGACAAAGATAAATGATTTATTTTTTAATCTGAAGTTCAGCACACAGAACAAATAATGTTACTTAAACTCAGTCTACGTTGTGCAGATGTTCTGTCTGCACTGATGAAGGTTCTCTTAGTACCGTAAACACAATCTTATTGGTGCCAATAGAGTGATAAACTTTTAGCCAAGGACTGTGGTTTGATCGTTTGGTCTGGCATTAAAAGCACTGTAAGAAGAGAGTCCCGATGCAGTTCCAAGCTTTTCGTACATTTCCTTTCTGCAGATATTGAATGTACTCTAAAAAAGCTTCACAGACAGCTGGTTTCAGACATGTGGCAAGATAAGAAGCTGTTTAAAAGCGCTGCTCCCGAGAGGTTGTGGTTTGGCTAATTTCCAGTGAGAAGATTTACAGTTTGATTTTCCATTTCTGCGACCTTCTGAGCTGCTCTTAGTATTTATTCACCAGTAGATAGTTGAGCCTAAAGGAGTGAATGAATAACAACAGGAAATGGATCATCTGAAGATATCTTACTATAAAATTGTAATTAAAATTCTAGTTTTGCTCAAGCACAGCTTTCAGCCCAGTCTGTCGGTTAAAGCCTCAGGCGATAGCAGGAGTTTTACATTTGCCTCATAAAACCTTTTTATTATTTTTTTTTCTCTCAAAGGCACATGGTGTTCTTTCTGTGCAGTAAATGCAAACTCTTGTGGGAAAGTCAGTTTATTAAGCTCTCTGAGGCCTTAAGTTAGACCTAGAAGTCATCAGGGGCTCTGTTGCTCTTCATGGTATAATAAGTCAACCGAACTGTTCAGAGTAGAGCTGGTATTTCTGGTTCTGTAGGCTTTTTATAAAGAGCTTGAGGTTGTGAATTGTGGCTTATAAAGAAAAGTATTGTTAGTCTTTACTTCTTACTCTGCAAGCTCTGTTGCTTTTAGTTCTCTTCTAATAAAAAGATGCCTACTGTGGCTAGGCAATTTATTACATTTACAGTATAAACATAATTTAGATAAGTCCTACAATAATGGAAAAACACAGAAACCTTGGATTAAAATATATACATACTTTTACTTGGTGCAAAGGAAAATCGCAATAAACAGGGTTGAAAGTCTTAAAAGGCATTACATTTAGGAATCTAAAAAATAGGCCTTTATTGGCATTAAATGTCTTAAATACATCTTTCAAAGGTCTGAACTTATTTTAACAGATAATTAAATTTCCTGCCACACCAGAGAATGTGTACAGTGCATGGTGCAAAATGGTGCATGGTGGGAGTGAAGGCAATAGAGTCTTATATACAGGGTGTGAAAAACAGAGCCCTCAGCATCAAGCTGCCAAAAAACACTGCAGATTTCCACGTTTTGTAGTTTTTTACTCCATCCATTGTTGTATCTCTGCTTCTTTCTTGTATCTTTGCTTCTTTCTATATATCTGCTTCTGTCTCCTTGAACCCCAGTCGGCCTCAGCAGATGGCCGCTCACACTGAGTCTGGTTCTGCTGGAGGTTTCTTCCTGTTAAAAGGGAGTTTTTCCTCCCCCCTGTCGCTACAAGCATGCTTGGTGTGAGGGATTGCCTTTGAGTCACTGAGTTGATGCAATCAACTGGTTTTCCTTAGATAGAAAACTTAGAATCAATTTCCCTGTATGATCTGGTTGAATTGTAAAGAGTGTTGAGATGACATGTGTTGTGAATTGGCGCTATATAAATAAACTGAATTGAATTGAATTATATTCAGCCTCCACCCCCGACATCAGCCACCACATCAGTTAATCATGTGGAGCCGAGCGAGAGCAGAAATAAAGCTGAGCATGAAAAGAAGAAATCAAGAGCGCGTTTTCAGCGTGGAGCAAGGCAGACTGGTTTTGAGTGAAGGTGTGCGACTTTAAACGATGCACATTGTTCTCAATGCACACTCAGTTCAGTGGCACAAACAATTACGCCATAGATGTTGAGCAAAAGAATAAAGAATGCAAAATCTAGCTCAAAACTGTCGGGACTACCCAAAGTAACACATCAAACCTCCACCACCTACAGCACAGCCACGCTGTTTAGTTCAAAGACGTGCAAAAGGCTCCATTACCTTTGAGAAAATTTGTTTGCATGAAAACATTTTTCTCCTGTTCAGTGAGACATTGTTCAATGTTTTAACCTGAATGGGTAGAAGACTTTTATATTTGATTTAAAGTAATATGTACTGTTATTTATTGAGTAAGTAAATTATAAATAGATCAGTTGAATTTTTTTACACATGCCTTTAATTCTAATAGAGGAGCCAGATCATTTATTGTGCATTTATCATTAACGAGGTAAAACTGCCGAATGTATCATGATATTTATTGGAGGTCATAACGCCCAGCCCTATGCTGTCGTTCTGATGCTTCATTGATTGTTTTTAAGCACATTAGCTTGTGTTTTTAGTTTTTGCAGTGTGGCTGGGATGAAAAGAAAGGAAAAAGCTTCTGTTTTCTGATTAAATTGTGTTTCTCTTTTCTCTTTTTATAGGGACAGCTTTATAAAGGATTCACCGACTGCTTCTCCAAGACTCTGAAAAAGGAGGGATTGACTGGACTCTACAAAGGGTTGGGAGCCTCTTATTTCCGTCTGGGCCCACACACCATCCTGTCTCTGTTCTTCTGGGATGAACTGCGCAAACTCTACCAAAAGCTCAGATAACACCAGGAAACCAAAAAAAAAAAAATATAGTAACTCATTAAGCTCTGAGTGCAGAGGTTAAACGAGTCCTCTTTCAAAGAGGTGGAAGAAAAAGTAGATGCTGTTTCTTTTTTTCTTTTTTTTTCCAAGGAAGGAGCAAAAGTTACTTTTCACACTCCGCTGGGAAAACAGTTTAAACTTGAATTATGCAGGAAATGAGGTCAGAAATGTCTAAAAGTCTCTCAGAGGCTCAGTCATTAACCACTAGCATTTGCTTCCTACTGGAGCACGATGCATCAGGTGGTGTAAACAATGTAACCATTCCGAAGCATCGAAACTGTATTTGATCTGTGTAGAGAAAACAGCGAAGTGACTCTCATACAGTCCGATCAGATCGGCCACAGATGAAAAGGCTCCGTCGGACCTTCTAAAGCTTTAATTACTGAGGGGTCGATTGTCACATCAGTGCACATGGCGCTTGTTTAACCGGAATGCATACAAGTTTTTAAAAAGTGAAGATCTGAATCTTCCTGAAGAATTTAGGATGAGGCAAAAATAAGATGGAATCGTCCTTTTAAAGTCAAATGAAAAAGAAACTTGTCTATAAACTCAAATCTGTAGAAACGTTGTCAGCAGAAAAAAAAAAAAAAAGGGGAATCTTAGTACTGCTATGACACCTACCTGTGGGAAGTAAAACTTTAAAACAGGAACTGAGATTAAAAGATTTTTACAAACTCATCCTTTTTTCCCCCCATTGTTGGGGTGTTGTCTTTGTAAAAGAAACATTATATTAATGAAAAGAAAAAGAAAGTATGATGTCCTCTGAGCCGTCCTCCTTCCTCCAGTTCTGTCCAATCCGAACCTGATAAACTCTTCCCTCTCCAGAAGCTTATTTATTAAATTTGGGGGTTTTTTTGCCCTCCCCTCCGAAAAAAAGTAAATAATAAAATAAACACAAACTAATGGAGGGGTGTACATTTAATACTATGATTGGTTCAGTAAGGTTTTAAAACTCTTCAGAACATAAAAAAAGTGTTTAACTGATTAAAGGAAAATTAAAAAGATATGACATGAGTTATTTCAAGGTTTGGAATTTTCTTAATTCCTAACAGCAAGTAATGCGCTGCAACAGCGTGCAAGGTAAGAGAGGTATTGGCTGCCCCCTGCTGGTCGATCTTAGAGTTTTCTGTAAATGTGCTTTTAGTTTTCCCGCCTGAATTACAGCATTAACCCCACCCAGCTGCTAATCGAGCAGCAAATACACAACAGTTACAACCAATGAGAGTTTTTACAGTGTCCTAGAATGGATTGCAAGGATGTAAAATTCGAATTAACCTAAGTTTTGCTTTGGGCTGGAGCAGGTAAAGCAGTAAATATTTAGCCTGGGGGAGTGACAGCCTAGTTGTTAGCGCATAGATCTTAGAATCCTGAAGTTCAGAGTTCAAGCCCCACTCTCACAGACTGCCATTCTGGCTCTCTGAGCAAGACCCTTAATCCCTGGGCGCCCTACAATGGCAGCCTACTGCTCCCCAAGAGGATGGGTTAAATGCAGAGGTAAATGTCTCCAATGTGAGATCAATAAAGTTCTATTATTGTATTATTTAGAAATCACATCGCTCCAATAGGAAAGTGAGGGATCCAGCATCCAGATTTTTAAAGCAGTTTACTTAAGACAACTAAACTTTTATGCCTAATAAGGCATTTGCAAATAGATTTATACATGAGTCTATTATCAATATCTCACATTAGATTAATTACTGTACTGCATTTATTAACATAGGTGACCTAAGGATTGGATATTATGTTTAAAAAATATAAGCAACAAATACTCAAAAATGTAAAACTAGTTTAGCCAGTTTTTCTGGAAGTGTGTTTTTTTTTTTCCTTTTCTTCCTGATTTGAGCCGACAAGAATGGCAGGTTGTCAATAGATTAAGATTATTTATATTTATAATAATTATCTTATTTTAAAGAAATAAATGCTCATTGCATTGGCAGATCATCCCATTTGCCTGCTCAGATCAGGGGCAAATACACTTATTTTAAGAAATCTTTCCTGATTTTTAGATCCACTTTCCCAGTGAACAGCTTCTCTGCGCTCAGTGTACCCACAGATTGTAGAATATAACTCCTGAAAGTATTTAGATGCCCCAAAAGCAATAAGTATTTCCCATTAGATTACGACAATAAATTGTAATATTAAACCTACAAGATTAAAGTAATGAAATTACTAGAGTAAAGTTGTAATATTACAAAAAGTCATAACATTAAGAGAATAAAGTTGTGATCTGACGAGAATAATGCCATAATACCGCATTAAAGAAGTAGCCTAGTTTAATGTACACTCAGCTCTGCAGTTTGGTTGATGTTTGGAAGAAGATTAGGAAAAAACAGACAAATACACCACTGTATTTAATAACCTCATAAAGGTTGTTTAACTTTTTAAAGCCAAGGTAATTTACCAAAAAATTATGAAAAGTTTTAGGTGACCAAGTCTATGCCTGATATAGGAGTGGAATTTCATGTCTCCGAGCCACATGGCATCAACATATACTGTATATTACAGCGGTGATGGTTAAAGGCCAGGTTATCTAAAGACGAGTTTCTAAGATTCAATTAATTTAATTTATGAAGTTTTTAAAAAGTACAGACTTGAAGAAAGACCAACAGCTGAAGCATTTCAGATCTTTTGGCTCATATAAAAAATCTAACCATCTATCCTGTTTTTTTTTTTTTTTTTTTACAAAGGTCAGGTGATCCAGTTATCTGTTATTTATAAAATAATCTCAGGTAACTTTTTAGCAAATATTGAAAAATCAGAGCCTCAGCATTAGGCCATTCAGGCTTAAACCTCTTCAGGTCTATTTGATTAAAAGCTTTCGCACTTTAATGGACAGATTTTGACGTCACCCAGCTAATCAGTTGGATTTTATTTTTTTTAGTTGCCTTTATATCATTGCATGAACAGTGTTCAACTTTTAAGGGAAGTCTTGCGTTTTCTTGCATAATGCTGCAGTGGGACAAAGAAGAGTAATAATGGTGTAACAGGCGTCTCAGTAAGTTTGCCTCCTAAAAGGAGACTTTTGACTTACATGGCAACCCAGATCAGTAATATAGTGCTCAGATTTGGTTCAACACGTGATCAGTTTGGATTTAATCTATAAAAATAACGTAACTGGTTGTTAAAAGTATTTTAATGCACCTTAATACCAACAAGCATTACGTATTAGTTAACCATCAGCCTGAGCCTGAACCTTTATATCAAGTTCAGTCATGAAGTCATAAAGCGGTTTGGAGAACAGATACGTTCTAGTTTATTATTCAGTCTTTGGTTGATATCTTTCATAGCCAGTGTTTGAATTGTTTTGAATTTTAATGCAACTTTATATATATGATCTATATAATATTCTTAAAGTTTGCTTCTTCTTCAAAACTAAAACTTGATGACATTAAAATGATCCAACTAAGAACCTCACAATGACTAAATACTTCACAAGTTAAACTTTAGTTTCTTTTAAAAATTATATCTATTGATGCAATGATTCTTATTCTTGAATCTTGTGCCTTAACAATTCATCCAGGATATAAACTGACACTTTTTCCTTCATAGTGACATTTGGTTTTCAGCACTGAAATGTATCAACCTTTTAAAAGGAAAAGTCCGGTCAGAAAGGAATAATCAATGGATCATCATTTATAACTAAAACTAATAAGTTCACAGTGATTTAGGGAATTTGGCATTAATTAGTAAAAAAAAATAAATAATAATAATTTTAGTTGCGATCATTGAGTCTGGGACTGACCATTTTTGGACAAATATATTAACGCCTCACTCCTGACATTTTCCAGCAGTGATGTCACGGTGCTGAGCGCCATTCTCTCCGCTTTATAAGCAAAATCAATGGGAACTACTAGACACACTTGCAATCAATAACAATTATTTAAGATTTCGAGAAGACTTCACCATTGAAATACGTGAGAGCTATAGTTAAACTGACAATGCCCACGTGCATGGCAGTTGGAGGTCGTAATACATCGGGTAAAAGTGAAAAAGAAATGAATTATTTCACCTTTCCAATTCATTATCCTCCAAGTAAGGATTTGTCGTTGGATTGCCAACTTGAAGAGGGAAGATTTGCCATCGAACTTCTGGCCAGAGAGAAAACACGTAATATGTAGCCAACATTTCAAAGTAGAATGTTTTCAAGATGACTTGGATAATAGCTTGTTGTGACAAACACCAGATAAAGCACTGGGACTTGATCAACAGCCGATACCGCACCGTGACGTCACAAACTGGTAGGTGGCAGTAGTGTTCTTTGACGAACATGGATGTTTCCAGTAAAGCACATTTAATTGAAAATTACTCTTTTATTGAACAGTATGTAACAATTTCATATTTAAAGCACTTTCAGAAGATTGAATTCTGAATATTACCAGACTTTTCCTTTAATAATCATCAGGATACGGTGAAAAACACTGAGTTATTCTCCACAGAAAAGTGGCTGTCGTACCTCCACTACGTTTTGCAGTGTGGACCAACGTAGTGGAGGTACATTTTCCCATGAGACTGGGTTGCTGTGGCAACTGGTCTGGTGCTTTCTACCTACATGGGTCAAAAACATGATGAGCTGAGTTTAAAAGCACTTTGTGATCTCCGTAATGTGCAAAAGCGGGAGAAAAAATTTTTATTATGTGCCATTTCCCCCTACTTTTAAAAAGCAGCTTTTTTTTTTTAAACAAAGATTTTATAAAGCTATGAATTTTCTCCCCATGAAAACTTTTTTTAATGTATGCTATGTATGTTATAGTATTTGTTTGGGTTTCAAAGACTTTGTAATAAAGTAATCATTTTTGTACAAAATTGATCAGCATTATTTCATTTTGTCTGTGTTAGATGAAAAAGGTATTAGAATGTGCCTTCAATCCATAGTGTTTTATTAAAACCTTAATATT